GAGGACAATACTTTTAGTATTTTCTCAACCATCACCTTGTATGCCCATCAAGCTTGACTCTACTGAACACCCTAAGACAGGCAACTGTGAAGACAATTCCCTCTGAACCACCTTGCCTTACCCTTTTCCAGGCTGAGATCATGTTCTCTCAGGAAAGCATTATAGGAAGTATAAAATTATAATTTTTTTCCTCTGAATCCTCTCAAGAACATTTGTTCAAGGACATGAACTTTTAATTCATGAAAGACTGAGAAATCATTTCTGAAATGTGCTCTTTACAAAACACTACCAAATGGTTATAGCATTCTTAAATTCTAGTTTAGATTTCTCAAATCGATATTCTTTAATATACCCATAACCTCAATGTCTGAACTCAGCTTTTCCCTCTGCTGACTTGTTGTTTGAAGACTACAATAGCTGCCTAAATAGGAGGATATGCACATGTGAAGACAGATTGCATTGACTTAGCACAAACATGGTTTTCATCCCAGTAATGGCTGTCTTCCCTCACTTGCATGTTCTATTATAGCTATTCTTTTCATTGTTGTTGTTATTTTAGAAGTTAATATATAGCCAGAATAGTCGCCAGACTGCTGAACTCGAACCTGATATTTGGCGTCCACATGGAGAAGAGTCCAGTCTCTGGACTCCAGGTGTAGTGCACCAAGTCTCTCATGAAGCATTTTTTTGTCCAGCCCCCTCTATGCAAGGGGAGCTGTACAGTTAACTGTTCTTGGACCTGAAGACAGTACTGTAATCTCTCAAGTTTTTCCAGACTGGATACATATTTTGAGTTATAATTTAACCACATGGGGGCCATATGGCAGTTGTGAGTGATAGAAGTGGGGAATACAAGCTTTCTAAAGGAGGTCCTGAACATACATGCTCTACTCTAACAATAAAAAAGATTTACTGATTGGGGGCGGGGGGGATACATCTAAAATCATCTTCTTAGTGCTTGACTCACAAATTCTGAGAGACCTTCATTTTTTATCAGTATCTTTGAGGGAGTCAAACCTCTGATTTTATCCCTCCTTCAGCTGATTTTTCTGGCTTTATCAGTGAATTTTATTTTCTTGTTTAAAGATTGTAGTATTTAGTGCCTTTTCTGTGTTTTCATTCTTTTACTGGGATTTTATGCTGTTTCTTCTCTGGGAACACTTGCCAGTCATCAAAATTCAGTGGTTCTGCCAGAACTTGATGCATTTCTAGGACACAGATTTCGTGTTCAGCTTCCACAATGCATGTTCTCTTCATTAAAATGGAGTTCTAATTGCAGGTGAAGTTTGCAATCCTAAATTTTGTATGTAAAGCTAAAAGTAGAATACTGTTTGTCATGGTACAGATTCAGTTAACTGTATGTGCTATCACAAGGGTGATATTTGCTTTAGAGGTTGTTTATCTGAGTGCAGTAACCGTGGGCTTTATTGCACAAGTAAGGACCCGGATGGACCTGACACCCATTGACTTCTGTGCTTATTTTGGTATTATGTATTGTGAAAAAAACATTAAATTCACCATAAGAATTAATTATCTTCAGGCCACAAAGGTACATGTCTCTTCCTACTGAGCATTTTCAACTGTTCAGTTTGATCTATGTAACACTTCTTTTTAAGATCATTGATTGTATGGAGTTTATTTGAAGGTGCAAGACATCCCTGACATAAGAACATAACAACTGACATTTATCTAATTGATTCCTGTCAGCCAGCTGATTTTTCTTGAGACTGTTATTTTGCATCTGCTTCCAGAGCAGGTATAAGTATATATCACTTTAACTGCTTGTATAAATTTACATATTTATTATAATTATAGACACACATATATAACGTTAAATGCCTTTGCAAGCTTTTGAGCGCACAGAGAGGATTCTTTCTTGCTTTATTATAGTTACATGACAGAGACAATAAGAAGAAAAATCTTTATACTTGTTGACAATCCACTGAAAAGAAATGGATTACTATCATGACAAGTATCTATTTTGCTTCATGTAGGCAATTTTTTTCATATATTCCATCAGTTATTTACTTGATAAAACAGCATTCCTTTTTATGCCTCAATCATTTTCCTTATCAGGCAATTCTGAGTGTGCTGACTGCATTGTTCTCCATGTATCTGCACTGCCACATCCCCACAGAATATGGTGTAAGTGTATAGTGGGTGCTTCAAAACCCAAAGTTTGGGAGAGTGAGACCAAAGCTGTAAAGCCAGCAAAGATGAGCTGGATTAATCCACTTAGAAGTGGTAGTACAGAAAGTCCTCCCAAGAAGGATTGCTGTGTGGTTCTCCAAAGCTAAAGCCCTCAGACCTGGAAGCCTCAACACAGCGACACATGGCTTGAATAGCACTGGCTTCCTTATACATCCAGGAACCAGTGTGGTAAGGACCAAATTTCTCCACAGAACAGTTGGGACATGCATGTTCTTCTACACAAAAGATTCTTCCCATCCCATGTTGAACCCTGTACCTACTTTCACAGTTGTTTTTTTTTTCAAGGTCCTGTTCACACTGGAACAAGTTCAGATATTTCTGCTAAGCACAATCTCCAGAGCTTCTTTTTGCTTGCTATATTTCTAGCCCAATTTGGCAGTTTTTAGGATTGGAACATATTATTGAATCATGTTAGCATGCTAACAGGAGCAGGTAGTGCTAATGACTCTTCATTTAGAACTTCAAAGTGAAGCTAAGAAGATTGTGTTCAGGAGCAAAGAAATCTAAAGAGATGAGTAAAATTATTGCATTTCAAGACAGAACTTTGTTTTCCTTGTATTTCTAAGTATTTCCTTGGTTGAAAGCAGCAACTCTCATGCAAATGTGTTGGGCCATTTCTCTTGTTTAGCAGTACACATACGAATGATTCTATTGGATTGAGTGTTTCCTATGCTATTTTGCCAAGTTAGTTAAAGTCTTTCTCACAAAATGTGGAAGGATTTTAGAACAAATATTAAGGCAACTTCAGTTAAATTCTCATGATATATTTGATGGTGATGCCAAAATAATTTATTCATTGTGGGCTAATTTGTCATCCCCACGCCCTGTCATTCCTTCCCAAAGCTCCACATTAGAGAATTCTCCTGTCACACAGGAAGCTCGTGTGAGAGCTGATTCTCTAGAGCCTATCCCAAGTCCGAAAACAGACAGGGCTGTTAAGTACAGCACAGATTCTGTGAAGTGGAGAAGACCTTAGACTGATGAGTGGATCCTGACACAAGAGAATTTGACCCTGCACATACAGGTTTCAATTTTGTTTCTGAAATAAATCTGTATTAAAGTTTTGGGGTTTTGCCTTGTTCAAACATGCAGCTATTCAGTCCACAGAATAACACAGTTTAAGTATAGGAGCAGCACTTGTTAATGTCAAAACATTGCTTATGTACAATTTAATCTCCTGTGGTGGTGTATTTATTTGCTGTATACTTGCTTGAGTTATTTTCATCAAGAAATTCCGTCTATGTGTCGCTTTGGCAACATCTTTGCAGAGTTTACAACTTTGAAAAACATGTTGGCATCAACTATGCAGTCCTTTTAAACAGCTGTTCTGCAGTCATGCTGTTTCAACATGCCACCACACATGGCTGAATTATGCAAATAGTTAATATTAAATGACTGAGATACAAGAACAATTTGTACACTCGATAAAACTGGTCTGTGGAGTGTAACACATTCATATAACTGAGTTGGTGCAGGGCAATTTAAAGGCAACAACATGATTCTTTTGACTTTGTATCTTGTATTAAAGGCAGCAGAGGACAGAGAGAAGGTATATGGCAGGAACGTTTTAAAAGGCTGAAGGTTTTTTTAACTCACTACTAATGATGTAATGAAAATAGAATGTGTATCAATGTAATTTTCTGGCAAGTATTAAGAAATAGGTAAGATATAACAAATGTTTGTCATTAAGCTATAAATATGAGTTACCCTGTTCCTGTTGAGAGATCAGACAGAATGCTGATTACATAGAATGCTAATACATTAATAGTATTGCTTATTGAACACAGTAGCATTTGTAAGACCCAAGCAAACAAAAACATTAATAGTTTAAAAAAGTGTAACATTATCTTGAAATTTACTTTGAAAGGCCTTTCTACTAAGTGCTGTTCTGGTTGTGTAATAATGATTGCTGTAAATAATAATAGTACAATAAATAATAAATAATGCTTTAAATTCTGTAACTTATTTTATAGTAATTACACCCATTCCATGTGGGGGAGAGAATGTTATGTGCTAGGTGATGCAAGATGACAACAGAATATGTCCAGTTATAGTCACAAAATACTGTGTTTTTTCCTTTCTCATTCTAATGTACATTTTGAGTAATCTGTTTTGTTCAGCTAAATAGTAGGAAAAGGTAATTTTTTTGATTAATCCAAAATCTTTACAAAGAAAATTATTAGAACATCCCAAAAAGTCTGTATTTCTGTATGCTTTTGTTTTTATTTCCCCACGTTGGAACTTCCATTTTTCACAAATTTTCTTTCCCTCTTTGGTCCCATTTTTGCTGTAGCTAAGGTTTTTAATCAATTTTTCTTTTTGGATGTGCATGTTAAGACTTACATATATCTGGTAATGTATTTATAAGACTTCCATGCAAGACCTAGCACTCGAAAGTACAATTTGTCACAGTCATTCAAATTAGATTTGTAAACTCCCTCAGCCAAACAAAACAGATTGAAAAGAATTCTTTTAGATTAACTGGAAGCTTAAGTTAAAAAAGATAGTGGGCTCCTTATTGAACAATAAATATTCCTTTTACAGCCTTAAGCTATACAAAATTTGAGTTATATAAATCATATGTGCCTTTTTTATTTTCATACTTTTACTAGTGTCCAATTAGTAATCTTATTAATTATGGCAAGTATATGTTCAAGCTTGTTAGATTTACTGGTCCACTTACACATTCACTTTGGTGAATATAAATTTATTATTAACAAATAAATATTTAATAGTTTCAAATGTAATTTTACTGAATAACTTAGCATTGTTCTTTTGTGGTTTTATAGGAACTAGCCACAATGAAACAGATTCTAATTAGTCTACATGACAAACGCTATGAACAAAATTTACCTCAGTCTCATCGTGACGTAAGAAGTGCCACTGCAAAACCAAAATCCAATGCTTCTCTAAAACTGCTGCCAGAAAATGAAGAAGAAAATATATTTATACCCAAACCAACGCTATTTGTAAGTACTGTGATTAAAAGCAAGTGCCAGTAGCTTTTTTGGATGATTGTCCTCACATCTGTTGAAATGAAAAATCTGCGTTCATACTTCAAGGAGATGTATCATTAATTCAAGTGACTACTTGTAGCTCTTTATGGGAATGGTCACTGTTGACGAGATAAATTACAGTTCATTATGTTATTTAGCTATCCAGTAGTTTCTATATCTTAAGTTCACAACCAACTTAATTTCTTTTTAAGCATGCCATTATACTACTACATTATTGAGTGGTTATCAAAATTTTAATAGCAAAAGGGATCCACAGACTATGTAAACAATTTTAAATCTACCCTGATCACAGATGAGTTGGGTGTGTGTGTATATGTATTGCGGAGCAGGAGTGAGGGAATAGGTGTATTGATGTATACATATATTCATGTATATATTTATATTAATATAAGCGTATGTGTAGGTATCTAAATATATAGAAATGCATGTCCAGCATTAATATCACTTCTGTTACTAAGGATACCTGATATTTTTAAAACCTTGTTTGCTTTAGAAACTAAATGCTTGGATTTAAATACGTCAAGTGGCCTGCTTCAGATTTAGTCCCTCTAGTATTTGAAAACTTCATGGAAATGGTTTAGACATTAATGAGTATGACTCTCTGAACTGATAAATTCAAGAGAGCTAAGTTGCAATGCTGAATCATAATGCAAACCATGACTCTTATTTACACTTCTTGAGGCACGTTTCCCTAGGGGAGACTGGTTGTATCCACACTGCATGGCATATGCGCTATTTTGATACAAATACATATCTCTATAATTTTTTTCCTTATTTTTTTTTTTCCTGGTGGAGACTTCAACACTCAGTGTCTTAAACAATATGACATTTGTATTGAAGCACATTGGATACTGTTTATATCACACAAAATGTAGGAAGTGGTTGCATCTCTTAGATGTGATTTGAGGGCATTAGGGGATTTTAGGGGTTCAAAATTAGCTTGGATAGCATTATGAGACTAAACACAGGCATATCCAGTGTTGTCTCATCCACAATCCTTTCGGCAGTGCTAAATCATACTGCCCAAACTTTGTCTTTGACAGGAATCCAAAACAGCTAAAATGTGAGCTAACAATTAGGTTGTGTAGATGATCCAAGGTTTCAGTGTTTATTCTGCCCTGTCTTACTTAGGCATACAGAAATGGTGTAGGAATCCATAAAAAAAAAAATGCTTTTACATTTAGAAATTATGATCGATTTCTCTTTGAAAAATTCTAGGCTTTTCAGACTTTGGGGTCAGGAACCAAAAATAGGCAGATGGCAGAGTTTCTTCTTAGTTGGGGAAAGAAGTTATCAGTCCTGTGAAAATCCTGTCAATTTAGGTCAATTTCTAGAATTTTAAAAGTTTGCACAAATAGAGTAGATTTATTTTTGTAACTGGAATCTTCAAAATGAGAGAAAGATGGAGATTAAAATGTGATGAGAACCCCCACAACAAGACTAACTGAATAAAGTCGATTGTGCATTGTTATTAAGTCTTGGAAGAAAGAATGGAGAGCAGACAGAAAATGGAACTAAAAAGGGACAAGTTTAGGAACAACACACCAAAAAGACAGTGCTCACTAACACGAGAGTTTGTATTCAACCCTGAAAGCAGAGTAGTCCTTACCTTATTCCACCTCTACTTCTTTAGTTTTATTTCTGTATCCAAACAACCACTGAATTGGCCACAAGAATGTTAAGCAATCCTGGCTACGTAGCAGTAGCCCATAGGATTGTGAAGGCAAGGGCAAGTTGCTCACAGATAATTCTCTATGATGAAAATACTTTCTACACTGTCGGAAGAAATGCTGAATTATTTTTAATTATATTTTTTTTAAGAACTGTAGTTCTGAATAAAGTGTTGGTCAGTTATGGAACGTGTAAGATCTCTTTTCTAAGTTCTATCCCCTTCCCAACTGGGAAGGTCGGATGATGTTGTTTCAAATGAAACCTATTTATGGCACAGTTGACGCATGTTTTCATTGTGATAGGTATTATTTCAAAACAAGTAATATACTTACTGTATAATCTGTTTTCTATAACCTAGAAATAGGGTTGTTTTAATACTGATATGTAATAATAATAACCTTAAATGAATAGTCTTGCTTTTAATTTGTTTGCATTTAAGCAAAGAACTCATTTATCACTGTGAACTACATAGGAAGAAAAGAGACTTCAGTGTAGCTTGCATGTTTTTCTTCTGGCTTTCATTGTCTTACAGTTAAAATGTTCTTTATTTTACAGACAAATAAGGAGGCACCTCTATGGTACAAGAAACTACAGAAGAAAACATCACCATAGCATTTTTCCAAAATTATTCAAAAATAATCTTTGGGGGATTTTATCTTTGAAGAAAGTTTTCACCATGATGGTGCCCTTTTTACCATAAAAGAAAAAGAACTGTTTTGGTTTTAACTGTTCTTTTATACCTGTCAAATGGTCTTAGATGTCATTAAATAATTTTTAGATCTGCTCTGTGAATAAAATGTGTGGCAATAATGCATGCATTTGAATTTTAAAAGATAAATAAACACTAGTATATTGTACACATTTATAATCTGGGCAGTTAAAGGACGTGTTATTCAGAGTGTTCAAATTAATGCATGTTTCAGCTTTTTTATATTATTTTTCTTGGACCCTGTGTTTCGTGCCACATTCCTTGCAACTATTCTGGGTCACAGAAATTTAAAAAACATACATGAGTTAGCATCAGACTATATCCTACTTTCTATAAAGGACATTCTTGTCAGGTGGGAAAAAAAGTAATTTCTTATCGCCTTGATTTGTATAGTTTGTCATTTGGTGTCATTTGTTCTTCCAAACGGGCAACAAAAATATTCTAAAGAAGCAATAAAATGTATCTTCATTATCAACACTGATCCTTAATAGACCAGATACATTTGGTCTGCTGTAATTACATCAATGTAATAATAAAAACAGAACCATGATGTGTGAGTACTGTAGCATGGAATGGTGAAATGGATAACTTGCCATATTTAATTGTGTGAATATAAGCCCTATCTTCCAAGAACACAGTCTACTTATTTATTCTACTCCACCATCTATTTAGACAATAGAAAAGGTCTCTAATATTTTAAAGCACTTTTGACTGCATATGGTGCATTTGTATATATAATTTAAATATACATGATATTAAGTGACTGTACACTGAAAATATCACACGGATTTCATTTAAGAGGAAGCTCCTTTTGCTTACTTCCTTTTTCCTTGGCAATGTCTCTTCAACCAATTCATTGTTCCTACAAGAATTATTTACTACATAATACTAACCTATATCAAGCTTATGATTCCCAAATACACTTTTCTTCATTTTCCAAACAGCAGTTTAAAGCACATCAATACTTCTCTGCTGCAGGTAAGCTTCAGGTAGGTTGGTTGGTTTGTTCGTTTTTCAGTTCTGAGAGAGTGAGGTAAAAATGCTAGCAATTGTACATCACAGGTTTAAAATTATCACCCTGTGAATGAGGCAGGCCAAATGTGTGGACAGAGGTAATATCTTTTATTAGACTAACGGGTGTTCACTGGGGAAAAAAGTACACAAACTTTTGGGCCCACAAACCTATCTGTACAGACATTCCTGAATAAACTCTGGTTTCCTGAAGTCTAGGGTTTTATCTAACTTGTATTTTATGTGAATAGAATCATTAACTTCTCTGTCACGTGAAACAGCTCCCATGCAGATAGAAATTTTGTAGTTTGTAGTAGATGCTTTATATGATTCACACACAGTCCCCAGTTTAACTTCCCAGACCATCCTGTTTGTCTGTTATGTACCAGTAATAAATAAATTGTATTATCTAGAAGGACCATAAGCTATTTTAGGCAAGATACTGGTTGTAATCTTGAGTATTCCAAATTTGTTCTCCTGTAGTATCCTTATTGACAAATTGGTGAGACATGGACTAGAAGGTGGGTGGAAAATTGGCTGACACACCAAACTCAAGGAAATGTGATCAGCAATGCAAAGTCCAACTGGCAACTGGCAAGTAATAGCATCCCTTGGCAAGCTCATAGGCATTACCAAATTTGGGGGAGTAGTCTGTACACTGCAGGGCAGGGTCTTGGAGGGACCTCAACAGGCTGGAAATTGTGTCTTCAAGAATCTTATGAAGTTCAACAAAAGCAATTGCAGTCCCACATCTAGGATAGAATGACCCCATATGCCAGCACTGGCTGGAGAGCAGCTTGACAGAAATAGACCTCAAGGTCCACATGGCCAGCAAATGGAACATGAGCGAGCAATGTGCCAGCCAGCTGCATCCTGGGTGGTGTTAACCATGGCATAGCCAGCAGATGGAGGGAAGGGATCCTTCCTTTCTGTTCAGCCCATCCCTTCTGGAACGTGCCATCCAGTCTGGGGCTTGTTCAAGAAAGACACTCCCATACTGAAGTGAGTCCAGCGAGATTCACCAAGCTGGTCAAGGGCTGCTGTTCCTGATGCGGAAGGGGAGGCCAGAAGAACTGGACTTGTTCAGCCTTATGAATAGAGGGCTTGGGGACTGTGGGAGAGGCTGGAACTTGTTTCTCTACCTACCTAATGGGATGGTAGTGAAACAACACCCAGACTCCTCTCAGAGATGCACAGCAATGGAGTAAGAGCCAACGAACACAAGATGGAACACTAGAAAACTCAGTTGGCTATTATGAAAAATATTTTTACTATGATGGTGATCAAATACTGGAACAGGCTGCCCAGAGAGGTGGTGGAATCTTCACCCTGGGAGATCCTCAGAACATGACAAAGTTCTGAGCAACCTGGTACAATTGGACCCAACTTTGAGATGGACTAGGTGATTGATTTTCAGAATTCCTGTCCAACCTCAGTTACGCTGGTAATATTTCTATTGCTATAAGACAGCGGCATCAATTTACTTCTTATCATCCAAAGGACACAAAGTGTTTAATTTTTCTACAGAAACACAGTACACAAGAACATTTTGATGCTTCTAGAATGAATTTTGCATTGCAAATTTCTGTGTCCTTCAGGCAACCTGATTTTCTAAGAAGGCTCACAGAAAATTACACTGATTTTTGGTGAAATTTTATTGACATTTAAACAGTTCTCCAGATGACAAAGTGACATATTCTGGCAAAGTGTGTTTTTTTAGAAGGTTACTAACAAGGTCCATCTTTAAATTTGCGAAAATAAAAGTTGTTAGCATATACTGGTAACACATAATGTTGTTGGTAAATTCTTGTAATCCACAGGGTCCCTCTGTAAAACTCTTGTGTAATTTTTTTTCCAGTTGAAGACTTCATTATTTTTCCTGTGTCTCCTCACTACACTCCAAGGCTATAATTATATCTATATAGATTAATATCTAGGAGGAGACCATCTAAGCTTTTCATGTGAAAGTTAGAATGTCACTTAAATATAAATATTCAAATGTGAAATGCCCTACAGCAAAAATTAATGAACCTTTTTGCTCTTTAAGTAATGAAAAGGTTCAGCTGCATTACCTGTACAGCATTTTTAGTGATGTTCTTTCCCACAAACATAGCTGTCAAATGAATTATTCCAAAATTTGTCTTCATGGTCTTTGCAGTCTCCCATTGTAGTAGGCCTTGTATGAGTCAAAAATAAGAGAAATTTCTATGGGTAGTCACGCATGTAAGCAACTTGTGACTGAAGTGTCCAACCCACATAATCATCCTCAGTTCCTCTTTTTCAAATCAGAGGGAGCAGAGAGAAAACTCTCTATCCACATTAAGCTGGTGTTACTTAAGTGAAGTTTCCTGAGTGTATGGGTCACAAGGGAAAGGAGGGAGGACAGTTGGCTTCAGATGTCTTCCTTCTTTTTTAACAATGTAATGACTTTCTCACGTTGCTGTCCCTGCCTAGAAGCAAAGAAGCTCTAACGCATCAAGAAAATTTCCTCTTGAGGAGAAAATAAAATAAAATAAAATAAAATAAAATAA